TTCATCATCATCATCAGCAGCAGCTGCAGCAGCAGAAGCAGCAGCAGTAGTAGTAGTAGAAGTAGTAGTGTGTGCGTGTGCGTTTGTTGAAGTGTGCGTTTCAACTTCAAGTATGAATTCCTACAAAACACGACGGCGAAGAGCCCGTCTACTTCCTTGCTGGAGCTGGAACACAATGGTTGGATTCATCATACAATCTTAATTCAAGAACAACTATATTTGTAATAAACAATGCTTTTATTGAACATTTCATGTGGAAAACAATTTTTTTTGGTAATTAGCTGGTAAGATGTAATAGGCGATTTTCTTTTTAAAAAGGAAGTTTTTGTACCTATGAGAAAAAGAGCTGTCTTACTCCTTCGAGTAGATTAAGAAACACATATTGGTTTATCTTTTCGCAGTTTCAGAAAAGTTGAATCTATAAATTCAGTTTCTGTACCACCTACTAGAAAATCCTACAAAACTGTCCAGGGATAAGACCATTATTTTGACAAACACGTGACACAGCTTTATTTCACAAAATTGATAAGTCAGTTTTGACCCAAATTTTTATTGGAGATACACCACTCTTATTCTCACAGGCACATTTGTCAGTAATGCTGCCTTTAACTGGCTACCTCAGAATTACAAAGTTCTATGTGACACTTTTGGCCGTTTTGAGCTACTAAGACCATGAAGTCATAAGCCAAATGTTGTATCTGCTCTATCAAAACCGAAAGATTATTCTGAGTCGTTATCGAGGTATTCAACGAATAGCATCCGAAAAAGCTTGACATATTGTGAAACCCAACATTTTTGACGTCCAACTTCTCAAAACTAACTAGGCACAAAGCAGATAGAGCTTTGTAATTCTAAAGTAGCGGATTGGCAAACCGCTAATGCTATGTCATTCTAGATTATTACCCATCGAGGTACCCGTCAAGCGTATGTCAGAATATTATGCAAAAATTCGAGTGATTCTGATTCCTCACATCAGCCCCGGATAGCATTGTTCTGGTTTGATTCGGCTAAACGAGATAGAAGAGGGAAAAGTTTTTAAATTAAACGTATTGGAACAATTGAAGCAAACTAGTGTCATGGGATAACTTTACAAATCACCAGTCAGATGCTTTCGCGGCATCGCGTACCTAGAAGAAAGACGATAAGAGGAAAACATATTTTACTTTGGTTTGATTAGCACCATCCGCTCGATTTCTGGGGAATAGGGTTGAAGAAAATAGCCCCCCCCCCCCCCCCGCCAGCTCTCATTTCCAAACCGAAAAACCCGCCAGCGGAAAACAAAAATATTTCCCCACCCCCGCCAACATGTATGTAAACGAACGTTTTAGAACCCCCGCACCTCCAAATCAGAACAGGTTAAAACAATCATTTTTACTATCTATTGTTGCTGCTACAGCTTCTGCTACTGCTACTGCTGCTGCTGTTGTTGTTGTTGTTGTTGTTGTTGCTGCTGTTGTTGCTGCTGCTTCTGCTTCTGCTGCTGCTGCTGCTACTGCTACTACTACTTCTGAGACGTTTTCAGAAAAAAAGCCCCGTAAGAATAATGATAATGATAACAGTACCAATATATATATTGAAACTATTTTCATTATAAAACATGAAAACAAAGATAAACAAAAATGATGATAAACAAATTATGTTAATTAGCTCATTAGAACTGAACCTTCCATTAGATTATTCATTTTTCCTGTACTTGGCCCAGTTTAAAGTAACTTTTATATTTACAAACAAGCCTAGCTTCCATCACAGTTCACCGAAATACACTCGGCCTTCAATTAATTGAATATAATTCGACCTTGGAATATCTAGATATCTAGGATTTGTTCGCTTCAATACGTAGCTCGGAGGAACATTTCCCTGGAAACAGAACATTTTAGAATGTGAAAATGTGAAAGCGTGTGCCGGGTACTCATAAAGTGAAAAGAGAAAAGAACCAGCCCATTTTCGGAGGACGGATACATATTATGCGTATCATCATCATCATCATCATCATCATCATCATCATCATCATCATCATCATCATCATCATCATCATCATCATCATCATCATCATCATCATCAGGTTCCCTTTGAACATTATTTGGTCAGCTAAAAAGTAGAAGAGACACAAATGCGTTTATCACGAGTGATTTGCAAACACAGACAAGATAGACTAGTACAGTCATTGTATTGTGACATGCCTGGAACTGTTTCTGAAAAAAAATACCCACAAAACAAACCCACCCCTCACTCCCTCTTAAAAAACCCAAAAGACAGCATAACCCCACCCCCCAAAAAAACAAAACAAACAAACAACAAAAACAACCACACAACAAAAACAAAACAAAACAAAACAAAACAAAACAAAACAAACAAACTTACCAAAAACACAAGAAAGAAAAAAAACGCGCCAATAAACAGACAAAAAACTACAACAACAAAAAGTAACAATAACAATAAAACACACAAAAGGAGGCTACTCCTGGGAAGATTCTCTTCGTTGTGAGGGAACGGTGGGATGTGACTCAACATAATGACGTAATGTTGTGTCTAGCTTTTTGTGCGTAGGGTGTGGGTTTTGCGTGTATGTGTGTGTGTGTGTGTGTGTGTGTGTGTGTGTGTGTGTGTGTGTGTGTGTGTGTGTGTGTGTGTGTTTGTGGGTGTGTGTGTGTGTATGTGTGAGTATATGTATGTACGGTGTATGTGTGTGAGTGTGTGTTTGTGTGTGGGTGAGTATATGTGTGTACGGTGTATGTGTGTGTGTGTATGTGTGAGTATATGTGTGTACGGTGTATGTGTGTGTTTGTGTGTGTGTGTGTGTATGTGTGGGTATATGTGTCTATGGTGCATGCGAGTGTTTATTTGTGTGTAAATGTATATTCGTATTTGAAGGGATTGGGAGGGGGGGGGGGGGGAGGAAGGTGAATCCATGATGGGGTGGAATGCAGAAGCCAATATCAACATCAACAATAATAATGATCGCTTTCGACTTTCTGGCACAGCTTAGGCGTGTCTCTAGTCCACGGAGACAACCGTCCCTGGAACGTCCGAGGAACCCGGAGCAGCAGAGCCGTAGTTACTGCGCGGCTCGAAGGACTCCTCCACCAGACGCCGGTATGTTCCCCGCCCTTTGGAGCGCCGCCTCTGAACAACCACAACGACAACCGTTGCTATAGCAACACAGGCCAACGTCACTGCGACAGAGATTCCTGGGGAGGGATAGTGTGGAAAAATACATCAATACAGTTTAGATTGCAATCTTCATCCACATAGTTTAGAGAATTTTATGCTTGCAAGTTGATTCAACCTTTTCCGTCATCGACCCTGGCTGATATTGATAAGGATACAGCTTTCTAACAGAAAATGGGTTAAATTTGAAACAATAAATATCCCCACTCTGGACTCGAATCAAGTCTTCTTTTGCACAAGGCAAAGCGCCTAAAATTATAATTATTTCACCACAGACGTAGGAGTTGGAACAAAAAATAATTTTTAAAGATATTATGTAGACTCTTTCAACGCTGATGGCTTTATGACAAGTTATGAAGTTGGAGAAGCTATGGTTAATTAAAAATATCACGACATTTTCACAGAGTATGCAAATACGTAAACGAAGGGATATTTTTTTCGGTATCAAATGTCTATAGACTGTATCGCAGAGGATGGTCTTGGGCGGGTTATTTATTTTTCATTCCTTGTTGGAGCAACACATGACCAAAACATTTCTTGATGGACATAATACGTCGCTGAGATAGAAAACAAATCCACCCCCACAAGCAATACAAGATACAGATTCTATCTTCGGATTAAAAAGTTTGAGTAGGAGAACAACATGATATGTATGGTCTACAATTACGTTTAAAAAAACCAAAACAATATCGTGACTCCCCCCAAAAAAAGGGAAAAAGAGAAGAATAAAGAAATAAAAATAAAAATGAGAAAAGGAACGTTAATAGAGATCTTGCCTTTTAAATCTACCAACAATTGTGTCTGTAGAAACTTAGTCCTGGAGCACAAAATCCAAACTCAAACTACGCATGCGTAACTCACCCGCAGCTGCACCAACTGACAAGCCGCTTCCGCCAGTTGTTTGACTGAGTTTCATTTCCGCTTCCTCCGGGGAAGCCACGTTGAGTTTGGTCATGAGAACAGTCTGGTACTCTCGTGCCTTCTCATTCTTCAGCCACGTCTGACATTTGAAACATGAAAGTATTGAAAGAGAAGGGTTTGGATCACAGAGGAAGGGCTAATATGTCGTTTAAGGTGTTGATTCTCTGGGGGGTAGGTTTTTGTTTTTTGTTTCTTTTTTTTTGGGAGGGGGTGGGGTGGGCACTGGTAGACCCAACAATCCTGCTGTCTTTTTGCAATCTGTTTTGAGTTATTTAAAAAAAATCATAAAATGACCGATATCGTTCAAAGTGCGCCTCAATAACGTCAACATACAAAACAAAATTATTTATGTTATTTCACTAATGTTTCGTCGTCATCAACGTTTTTTTTTCTGGTTCATGCTTTAGCAAAGAAAAGATCAAGAGTAGCCAATAGGAGCATTTCATTTTGCAAAGGCCTATTTCATGTACTGGAATACGTTCTTTTTGCGGGGATAGAGGGAGTGGTCAGGTGTCACAGAATACGTTCTTCACATCCCATCGAGTTTGGCCACTTATGAAAACTTTTTGCATTGGTGTGACCTATCATTTTCACTACTATTATGTTCTCTTTAATCAACATCTACTGTGGTCAGCAACATTGGTTTTATTATGTAGATATCTGTTTCGAGCTGTAAGTAGGCCTACATCCTCAGAGAATGGCATGGAAAAAACAGAATTAAAAAAATTCACATCGAGTTGACCAGCAATTAAGACCCCTCAATAGTTTTAACAAGAAAATGCAAATTTCGGAAGAACAAAAAATTTAAAATGCACCTAGTTTTTGTCATAAAAACAACTTTCTTTAATTAAGCAGTTGCACTAACACTGTAACAGACCCACTTACCTGTGAGTTGAGGTCAAACATGAGGAGGTTGTCTTCTGCGACGGCCGGCACAGAGGGCGGGTCAATGTACGGAGGACGCTTCACAGGCGGGGTCAGGGGGCCGGACAGGAAGCCAGACAGGATACAGTAGTGGACGGAGCAGCCCTGGGGAGGGGAGGGGAGGGGAGGGGAGACAGAAAAAGGTAAGATCACGCAGTGGCAGATATGAACCTCTAAAAACAAAGAAAAAAAGACAAAAGAAGTTTCTTGCCATGAAGTATAAGACTACTGTCAGAATAAACATTAATGATTTAATGTGTACAGCTTTTTCGAGTAGGTATCTATACAACTTTAAAGGTCTTGTAATTAAATTCCTGAATGTGGTAGAATGATGCATTTGATGTGAAATGAATATGTACATTTTGTGCGCTTCACTAGTTGAACTTAGATTTCCTCTTTTCGGGAATCGAACTTTTGTCTTTTGCATGCAACAGATAAGGGCCAAGCCATTACATGACAAGCTCCTGTCACTAATAATTGATTCTATTTTATGACATTAATACAAATGAAATAGACGATGAAAAAACCCATCAAAATAAGTAAAGAAATAATAAATATATATTCCCCAAGCTCTCTCTTACTTGCACTGTCGTTGCAATGTGCTGGCTGTATCCATGGGGGCACTTCTGGTTGGACTTGTGGTCATTTCCGTTATTGCTGGCCATGAAGGCACCCAGGGATGGACGAGCGTCGGCCTTGAGTGTGCCGGAGGAGGAAACCGGATGGACAGGACCCGTCGACAGTGGGTTCCCTTTATACAGAACGGTGGGAAAAATCGTGAATTATAGATGGCTACACGGCTCTTCTCAAATTTCTCGGTAACTTGGGGGGGGTGGTAAAAAGGGGGGGGGGGGGGGGTAGTTTAGTTTGAGTTAAAAGAGGCAGATCGACAAGATGAAGTGACGAGGAAAAGGAAGATACTACTACTACTACTACTACTACTACTACTACTACTACTACTACTACTACTACTACTACTACTACTACTACTACTACTACTACTACTACTACTACTACTAGTGATAAAATATTGTATTTTTACATATCGCTCTATCCCATACAATAGGCAGGCAGAAACCACAGAGGGAAAGGAAAGAAATTAGACATCGACCTACTATACTATTGCGCCCTCCAACCATCTGCGTGGGTTGAAGTTTGGATTGAAAAAGTAAACATTTATCGAAAACAGGCATTATGTAATCTTTCTTAGCGCATTTTGTTAGTGGTGGTTTTAAAGTTCTTAAAGGTGCATAATACATCACATAATTGTTGGTTATTTCTAAGGTGAAATTGGGTTTGTTCTTCTGAACTTTCATACATCTTTATGATCCTGCATTGTCAAGTGCGACCACCCTGTCTTTGACAGCAAATGTGTTCCAAGATTGTCTCAAAAGAAACTCAAAATTTCAACGTTCAGTAAGATAGTTGACTCTGACGATGAAATCAAAATTTCAACGTTTTGAAAAATAGCCTGACTCCGACGATGACTCTCATGAAATTGAAGATGAATTTCACTTTATTTTCCATTGTTCACACTTTGTCCATCAAAGGAAATTGTTAATCCCTCCAGCCTGACTCGGCCCAGTGACAGAAACGTGCAATGTTTGACCCATGATAAGAGATATGTGCACAACCCATTATGGAAACTTTACTAATCAAATGGGTGTTTTATGTGATGTGATGAGGGCCAATGGCCTTAGACACTGAATAGACTTACTTACTTACTTACTTACTTACTTACTTACTTACTTACTTACTTACTTACTTACCAGAATCGCAGCTAAAGAATCCCCCAAAAGGCATCGACTGTCCAGAGGAGAGCTCAAAGTCGTCGCTGAGGCAGACTTGAAGGTCCGTGAAGAGACGGAGAGCGTAGAAATTGGCAGGGCAGGCCTGAGGAAGAGTATGCAGGTGAATACATGTACAGTCAAACTTGCTTTAGCGACCACCAGTCCAAGACAATAACTCTTACAAACGAAGAACCTGATTTAACGACCAGTATCTGCACAAAACAATCACCTGTACAAACGACCACTTCCAGTTTCCCCTTTTGCGTTTTTAATATTATTATATAGAATGGCTTTGGGTGGCCATCTTAGACAGGTTCGGGTTCTTAGATATACTTGTGCTGCACGAATGTGTTTAAACGAAAAACCAGCGAAACATAGAAGGTTACAGCTGATCGAATTTTCGTCACACACTTTATTTGACGACCATTCGTATGAATTATTTTTTGAATACCTGATATAAAAATGGAAATGAAGAGAGAGAGAGAGAGAGAGAGAGAGAGAGAGAGAGAGAGAGAGAGAGAGA